AAAAAAAAAAAAAAAAAAAAAAAAAAAAAAAAATATATATATATATATATATGGGGAAAATTGTTCAGCTGTACTGAATACGTATGATAATTTTTCTTGTCATGATCCTTATGCTATTTAACAACTATTTGCACAGCGTTTACAATGCATTAGGAATTGTAAGTAATCTAGAGATTTAAAGTAGGCCATAAACGGGTTATAAGCAAATACTATGTTGTTTTCTATAAGAAACCTGAGCATCTGAGGATTCTGGTATCCAGCTGTATTTTGTAGCAGCCTGAACAGACTAGTATAACCACTTGGGTGTTAGCTGCTCACTGATCAGACCGACCCTTTGTTTCCCTCTGCTTCTAATAATAAATTTTCATCCTAGCCCAAACAACCAGCCTGCCAAAATCACCTTGTAAAATTAGTTCTAAAGCTGCTATAATGAAGGGTTTGCATTCTCATGAGGACCCCGCATGCCACTCATGAAGAAGGAGCCTCTTCTCTCCCTGGCCTCCCCTCTGAGGGAGGCTGTAGCAATGTCATGGAATCCAGTGCAGGCCTCAGTGCCCTGGGGGAAAGGGCTTGGTCTGGCAACTGGGTGTTTCAACTGTGATGGTGACTGACATCTGGAACTGGCTCTGTTCCCACCTCATGCCAGCCCATCGTCAAGATTAATATCAGGGCCAACACTAGGGTCTTGACCGTGCTCCCGGACAGTTGGATTCAGAGGCCAGCCTTGTCTCTCCATGCAAAAGCCCTGTGAGGTGAACCATTTCACTAGGAACCCAGAGCTTTGGCCTGAAGTCCTTAGGAAAATATAGTTTATTCCAGTCCTTAAAGGACCCAACGCTGAAAAAGATGGTTTGTTAACTAGGTGTGATTTGTAAAAAGATTCACAACTGCAGTCCTTTTATTAGACTTCCCTTCTGCATTTGTTAGCTTTGCCATTACTGAGACATGATTTCCGACACCCAAAATTAAAGAAGGAGAGATTTAATTTAGCTTTCAGTTTCAGGGGACTCAGTCCACGGTTGGCTGACTGCTCAGAAATATCATGATGGACGGACATGGTGGAGCAAAAATGCTTAGATGGTGTGGCCAGAAAGGAGAGCGGAGGAGTAGTGTCACAGAGGAAGAGGCCAGAGACCCTATACTGTACCTAAGGCCATGACCCCACGATCCACCGGCACACACTCAGAAGTACGCTCTACTCATCTCTCAGGCAGCTCCCGTGCCAGTAGAGCTCCTAATCTTCAGCACTCTACCTTCTTTCCTAACAAAAATAAAAGGACTTCAAAAAATTATATTTTTACTTAAATTTCTCAAACAAATATAGACTCTGAAAAAAAAAAAAGGTATGTGTGAATTCGAAACAAGTCTGGGTCTTGATTTTCTGAAAACAAATCTGCCTTAGGCCTCCAGGGTGATTAGATCAGGCCCACGGATGATGATGCCTGGGCTTCTGGCTTTAGTGACTGGACCAGTGGAGCTGCAAGGCACCTGGGTAGCGACCAGAGAGGACCAGGTAGGAGAGTCTGCAGAGATGTGTGCAAGGACGCTTAATATTTGTGGTTTTGTGGCTATAGTGAGGTAACTTCTTGACATCATTGGAACCCGGTGTGTGTCCAATTTCAGCAGCAACCCCAGTGTGGGAAAGGCAGCTCCAGTACACTGCTTAGGCCCCCGCTTCTGCTGTTTCATCCATTTATGAAAATGCAGTGTTGGTGCTGTACACTGTGGGCCCCCAAAAGTGTATTCCATTTCTCTCCTCAGCACAAAATGCCTGGTGGAGACCTCACTGCTCCATGGGAATGTGAGATGAACCCCCCCCCCCCGCCCCCCCGTTCCTTTTTGGTGCCCAAGCAAACACACAAGACTGGTGGAGACCTCCCTGCTCCATGGGAATGTGAGATGAACCCCCCCCCCCCGCTCCCCAGTTTCTTTTTGGATCCCAGACAAATACGAATGAGACTTGCTTGTGTGCTAGGACATTTCTAAGCTCCAGTGCTACAAAATTCTTAGCACTGAGAATACAAAACTGTCATTATGGCATTTGCAGACCCAAAGACTGTATTTAAGGCTTCAGAATGATGCTTATTATAACCTTATCCTGGACTGTCATGCCAAAAACTCGACATGAATAGTCTCCTGCAAGGAAATTTGCCAGCAAGGGCAGACTGTATCTGATCACATAGGCAGTGTTCTGGGTTGGTCTCAAGCGGTAGAGTTGCGGGGAGACACAAATTTTCCCAAGGAGAATCCGCTCCGGGATGGCAGCGTCAGAGGTTCTGACGGGAATGGTACCTTGGGGCTGAGTATGGGGGCAGCCCTCTTGTCACCCATGGGAAGTGGCAACCGTGGGAGATGTGAGACCCTGAAAGAAAGACTGATGGCAGGGAAACTCATGCTTCGGTGGGGACTTGCGGGTTTTAAAGTCTTCTGGGGAGAATAAGAGGAGAATCTTCAGAAAGTCAAGCCCAGCACATAGAACTCCAAGAGGAGAGCAGAGGCATTTTCACTCTGGGACGTTCTTATTTTCTAAAAGCACTTCCAAATTCATCTTTACTTCTTCATTGTCAAAAAAATCTCGTATTTAATTTCTCCCTTTTAAAAAAAACTGAATTCAATTAGAAAGATTACAGCCCACGTTAGTAGTACCACCATGATCCATTGCCTTTTTATTTGTTTTTGGTGTGACTTGGGATTGAACACAGGACCTATGCACTGAGCTACAATCCCGGCCCTATTTTTTTTTTTTTTTTTTTTTTTTTTTTTTTTTTTTTTTTGCCCCTTTTTTTTTTTTTTTTTTTTTTTTTTTTTTTTTTTTTTTTTTTTGAGATAGGA